GCAGTTTCCGAGCTTAAAAATGAATATGTCCGTATCAATTCAAAAGTCTTGAGGGCATTACAAGAAAAAAAATGAAATAAAAAAGCAACAACTTGATCTCGACCTACAGAATTTTGATTTTGAGAAGAATAAAAAGTGAACAAGTGAATTTTTATGGTCAAACCAGAAAAGCATTTTCTGCAAGGAAGTGTAATTAATATAGTACCTGGATATGTACATTAGGATTAGTAAAGAAATGACTGAAATTTTACCTTATTTTCTTATATAGTTTTTTAATGAATTTTTTTTTTGTTTTCATGAATATATATCTTTTTAATTTCTTTTATAAGTGTATATAAATATATATATGTATGTGTTGTGACAAATAAATATGAATTATCGTTGCAATACTGAAACACCATATCTTCTTTGTTATAAAGTGTTTGCTATTTCATCCCTGATCCTTCTGCCTTCACTTTGCAGTGTCGTGTTTTGTGGAGATTCTATATTCCCTTCAATATCATTGGATGGTGCTGGTTGATCGTCTTCATTATGCTCTATTTTGTAGTTTCTGCAGATGTTATGCAGCGCAGCGCAGACATTTACAATTTTCACTACTTTTTCTGGACGGTAGTGTAACGTACTTAATAAACAGCGAAATCTCCCTTTAAAAACTCCTATTGTTCGCTCCACAATATTTCGACCCGATGTATGGGCCAAATTAAATTTATATTCCTGGGAATTGTAGTGTGGATCTCTATAGGGTGTCAATAAAAAAGGTTCTATGCCATAACCACAATCTCCCAGTAACTTAGATGTCCGGTCCCCTGACTCATACATCTGAACGAAATAATTCCTGGCTCTGCTAATATTCCATACGAATGAGTCATGGCTAGAGCCGGGATACCGTGCATCGACTGCTCGAATTTTCATGTCACCATCACAAATCTAAACGTAAACACACAAATGAATGTTTATAAGTAAATCAGTTTTCACGTGTACTTACAATCATGGCATTCAAACTGAAATATCCCTTTCGATTATAAAATAAATGTTCATCAGTACTCGGCTTGATGATTTTAATGTGTGTCCCGTCGATACAGCCAATTATCGAGGGAATTTTGCACTTCGTATAAAAATAGCCTCTCGATCTGCGTTTTTCGTTGAAGTCCATTTCTAGTTTTATCCACTCTGGACAAAGCAACTGATTCATAATCGTAAGCACATCACCCAAAATCGTTGACACCGTGCTCCTAGCTACACCAATGCTGGAATCGTTTCCAACTGATTTTTGATAAGATCCTTCAGCTAAAAATCGCAACGTAGCTGCTAGCTGCAGTACTGGTGGAACTTGAGATCGTGTCAAGTGTCCGCCAATAGTGTCAAGCACCATTTGGAAAGCCTCTTTATTTAGCCTATAACACGCTATGAACCTGCAAATATCCTATAAGTATTTACAAGCGCACCTTGCAATAAATCTACTTACGCTGTCTCCGGCAGCTCAAGCGGGTTGCTGCAATCCCTCAAAATTTTCCTTTTGACCTTCTCGCAACTTCCTTCTTCCATCAACATGAACGCTACAACTGCAGATGCCATTTTTTACTCATATACTTTTATTTTTATTCAAT